AGCGGCTATGTAATTCTTTATCTTTACAGTTGGGGGTAACATACCATTGAAGTTTGAGCTGACTCAAAGTGCTGTATCAATCCTTTGAAGTCTTGAGTGGCAGCGCCACAAACAGTATGGGATCAGCCGCGGGCATCATTTGGATCAGTCAGACTTTGACTTGGTTTGGATTTTAGCCAAAGTCCTCAACTTATTTCACAAGATCACCCTTCAAATATCACAAGCAGGCTCAGCTTGCTTATCCAACATAGTATTACTTATTGACCAAATCACTGATCATCTCTCAACAATTATTGGTGATCCAAAATACCAACCAGAATTGAAGAACCCCTGCCAAGTAGGATTGAAAATAACAAACAAATACTACAGCTTAACTGACACCTCACCTCTTTACAGGATAGCAATTTGTAAGTATTTCTTGTTCATTTTTGGTCTATTTTTGTTTACACAATAGTGTGCTTCAGTGTTACACCCATCATTCAAAGATGAGTATTTCAAGCTAGCAAAATGGGAACTGGAATGGATAGCTGAAGAAATCCGCCTGGCTCGTGATATGTGGGTATCAAATTACAAGCTCCGACCAATCACTCCTGCCTCCTCTGCTCCAACTACTAGCTCAAAGTTCAGTTATTAACTTCTTCCCTCTCATTAGAGATCGTTCGTTCGGACCTGTTGGGGGGTACCTGCCACACTTCAGATCAAGTCCTCCACATCAACAGCCACCATAAATACCAGTGGGGGGCCCAGTACTAAACCTTCATCAATACTGAACCCTCTGGAAGCATCAGTGGTGTCTGAGGGTGTGGAGGGAGTGTTTTGAAGTGTGGCAGTTACCCCCCAACAGGTCCGAACGAACGATCTCTACCTCTCATCCCAACCTCTGTATAATTCCCTGATCAACTTGTGTATTGCCTTTCCATAGCCCAAGACTGGGAAGAGCAGCTGCTACCCAGGGGGGGGGGGGAGATTGCTCATCTAATGCATTTGATGCGTGGCTTGCTGGGGGACTTGTCCTCAATGGTAAAGAACCAGTGAATCCACTGAAGTGGTGGATGGAACAGAAGTATTCTGGTAATTCAAATGGAGGCCTTGTGCATATGGCACTAGACGTTTTAGGCTGCCCAGGTAAGTTTATAAGTTAATTATTGAACTGATTCTATGGTTTGCTATGTCTGACATATCTACCATATTCCATTTTGTAGCAACATTGGTGGATGTCAAGCAAGCATTCAGCTTTGGCTGGGATTATATTTCATCAAAGAGACACCGGCTCAATTCTTGTTCAATAAGTAGAGGCAACACTGCCACAGATACGATACACTCTGTGTATCATGGAGAATTCTGCAAAGCTGCATGGCCAAAAACCAATTTTGTTGAATCTCCTTGCAAATAAAAGCAGATTGGTTAGATAGTTTTTTTTATTGGGGCTCAGATACATAGTGATACATGGCAGATACGGGCAGATACCGTATCTGTGGCAGCGTTGGTAGAGGTATGAAGGTGGCTTTCTACTCCAAGTGTTGAGGGGCACAGGGTCGCAGGGACTGAATGTCACAGACTATGTCTTGTGACTAGGGAGCTGACACTAAGAACTAATGTGGTTTGTATTCAATGCAGAAAGAGCTCCTGAGTCTGATATCAGGAGGACTAAATACAAAGCCAAAATGCATAACTGTAATGGAAGCATACTATACTGGATATGCATATCCACAAATCCAACACACCCCCTTGCTGACAACTACAGTTATTCTAAAATAAATGAGATAAAAAAATTGACCACTAAAAGTAGGTAGGATTAGTGGAATAAAAAAAATCTCAGCTGGGGACAGAAAGGAAATTTGAATCAGGCCAGAGATCCAGAGGTAGTAAGGGACAGGGAAACACCACGACAGTGAATAAGTATCCAAAAATCAAACGCATTCAAAGAATTGGCCATCGACTAGCACCGGAGTTGTGTTCGTCACGAATAGAATGTTTTGTCTGGGGTTCATCCTTCCTAGCCCCACACGACGTCGCAGCCATCGTCATCGTAGCTGTCGTCGTCATTTTCTTCATCTTCCGAGTAGTTACCAAGAGTTGCATAGGAAACCGCCCCAGCACGAGCTTCAGTCGAGGACGCTTGGGCGGTGGGTTTCTTTTTGAGAGAGGGGTTCGAGCATTTTGACGAGTGGTGACCCTTCTGACCACAATTCCAGCAGCCCAGCTTGGGTTTAGCCTTCGTCGCAGCGGCCGAGGCATCGAAATGATCGGTCGAAACTTGAGTTGACACCTCATGCGATTCCAGAGCGCCAATTGCATCGTCTAGAGAGACCTCGTTAGGCGAGTAGACAAGGTGGTCTCGAATTGGCTTCCAGGAATCGTCGAGACCCCGAAGTAGTCTGTCACAGACTTGCTGATCATTTGGAGTCAGTTTAACGCTCGTGAGATCAGATGCTGCGTTCCGTATCCGAGCAATCCATTTGGCGATAGGAACGTTGGGGTCGTGTTTAGCCGACCAAAACGCATCTTCAAGCATTAATCGTCGAGCACGCGTGTTCTTTTCGTATGCCTCACAGATCTGGTCGTACAGTTTGCTCGCCGGTTTAATGTCGCGGTACCGTATAGACAGATCGACAGATAGTGTAAGCTTGATCGTCGATCGAGCGATATCCGATAGAGTGTCCCAATCGGTGCGGAACTCTTCTGGGTTGTAACCTTTCTCGGTGCGGACTGTGGGTTTAGCATCCACCGGCTCGGCCTTCGGTCGAGGAACCTTCCCTTGAACTATGTCTAACACCCCCTGGATGGCAAGCACATCTTCAAGCCGCGCACGCCACGCCGGAAAAACGACCGAGTTTCCGTCTAGTTGGGGAACCGAGGGGATAAGCGGCGAGGGGTTTTGAGTTAGTCTGTAGGGCATGATGATCGAAGCAAGTTGTTTGGCGAGTGGAGATGGTTGATTGACTGGAAAGGAAGTTGGAGCTAGAGCGACATGGGATCATAACCTGTTGAGGGGCACAGGGTCGCAGGGACTGAATGTCACAGACTATGTCTTGTGACTAGGGAGCTGACACTAAGAACTAATGTGGTTTGTATTCAATGCAGAAAGAGCTCCTGAGTCTGATATCAGGAGGACTAAATACAAAGCCAAAATGCATAACTGTAATGGAAGCATACTATACTGGATATGCATATCCACAAATCCAACACCAAGATCAAAGAAGGTACCTTGGCTGCATGGAAACAGGGACTCAAGGATGTAGAGATGGTTGACGGGTATCCGTTGTGGATACCCGCTATCCGCTGGAGGATACCCGCCAGCGGGTGTGGATGGCCCCTTTTCCGCAAAATACTGGCAGGTATCCGGGTATCCCAAAGGATACCCAAGGCCAGAAGGGCAGAGGGCCGGCGCCGGCAAGGTAAAATCCCATTTACCTTGTTGACTGGAAGGAAATCCTTCCAGTCGTTGAGGTACATACAACACCCTTCCAGCCGTCAAGGTACATACACCTTGACGGCTGGAAGGAAATCCTTCCAGCCGGTCCCTCACCGCCCCTTTGAGGGGTGGGTATCCGTGGATACCCGCTGTGGCCGACGGATACCCTCCAGCGGGTGCGGATGGCCATTTTGCCGGCAAAAGAGGCCGGATATCCAGATGCGGAGCAATCATCTCTACAAGGATGACAAGAAGTCTTAGCAAAACTCTAAAATGAAGGTGATAGTTTTGGATGACAATGAAAATTCTTCTAATGAGTTATTAGTTGTAGATACAATAAATATGAAAAACAAGAAAAAAGTGACTTGTCTGGCAGTAAGATCAATAATTTTCAACAAAATGAAAAAAGTGACTAAAAATGGAAAAAATTGACTTTAAAAAATGAAAAAAGTGACTTGCAACTCTGGGAGTGAAGTACACTAAAAAAGTAAAAATGAAAAAACAAAACAAGTGACTAAAAATGAAAAAGAGACTAATTGGGACTCTGGGCGAGAAAACAATAAACATGAAAAAAAGTGACTTGGGACTGTGGGAGTGAATATAGGTGAGAAAGATATGGGAGGTACCCGTGGTACCCAGCAAAAGTACCGCTGGCACCCGCTGGGAGGTGCCTGGTGCAGTGCTTGGTACCTATTTTCTGAAAAAATCCAAGAGGTACCCAAGTACAAACAAAAAATCTATACTCCTGGCTGTTGAGAGTGTACATACACCCTTGATGGCCAAGATCATTTGTCTTTACCATTGAGAGTGTACACTCTCAGATACTGAGAGGTTTCCTCACAGTTTCTGAAAGTGTTGGGCTGTCAAGATTTGTATGTAGGCTGCAGCCCCCATTCCCTGTTTTTTCATCATTTTTTATCAAAATATTTTGATTCCCACTGCAGGAATTTCAGGAACAACTCCCAAGCCTTAGGGGGGGGGGCACAAAATTGGGGCTGTGGACATCCTGAGACAGTCCTCAAGAGGTCCTCCAGACAAATTTTAAATTTGAGAGTTGATTAACCAAGGCTCTAATAACAAACTCAGACAGATTAAAGACACCAAGAATAAAATGATGATTGGAATCTAAAGAAAAGGCTCAGAGATCCAAACAAACTCAAAATATCAAATTTTCTAAAATAGGTACCAACCTTGAATTTAAGTTTTCATTGAACCCTCATGCTTATTCTGACATTGAGGTTGAGATTAGACTGAACAATCCCCCAAAGTTTATCAATTAAAACCCCTAAAAAGAGTTGGATCCAAATACTATTTCATCCACAAAAAACATGGTGGGGGGCTATGGCCACTTCTACATTTCAACTAGGAATGATTATTGAAGTTTAAAAGTGGGAATGAATTTATGAGAAGACAGGAGTTAAACTTGATTCAAGAGAATCCATTTCTAATTTCCTGACTGATTCTATTCATACAATCCCAATAGGAATGTGGTTGATCATCGCCAAGTGTTTTTATGCTATGTTTCAAAGCAGTCTCTTCATACCAAAATCCTAATAGTAGGAGTGCAATTTTGTTTGCCTGTGTTTTAGATAGGTTTCCAGGATTGGTTAACATTCTTGACAAGTATTTCTGGGCACTACCAAATAATATCGATGTTGGTTGAGGAGGTGGAAATGGAATTTGAACTGTACCAAAAATTGGCAAACTGTTGTTATCATGACCAAATAAAACCTCAAAAAACCAGTTCATCAGGCTTGTGTGAGTGTCCGTCACCACAGTTCCCAGAATTTTGGTGTCAACTTGTCGCTTGCCAACAATCTCGTGTAGAATATCCAGTGAGTCAAAGATCAAGAAGATCCGACGTTGAAAGAGATCAAATTCATCCCATTTTCTCCTTTTCCACTGCTTGGCCGAGCTTAGTATGATGCTGACTTTCTGTATTCTCGGCGTATCTTTCACTTGGAGGGATGGAATCAGATAAATTGGAACATCCGCTATCTTTGTTTTAGATGTTGCATCCAGTCCCCGGGACAATCCCGAACTTTTCAATTTTTCTTCAATGCGGTTCTTGATATCTTTGGTCACACTTGATCCGAAGTTTCTTTCCCGACGAGAATTGAGAAACACAAACAAGGGTTCCCATTGATGGCGAGTCTTGGCTTCCACTATGTACCTTTTCAAATTGGTGCTAAAAAAGTCTTCACCTTCATTGTACTCTACAGAAAAAAGGCCACCTTGCGGGGATCGATCCACAGTTAGTTGGGCCATCAGGTTCCAGTAGGTTTCGGGGTTGTTCTTGAGGTCAGCTCTACCGAGTTTCAAAGCAGTTGTTTGGTACCAATACCCCAACAAGGAAAGGGCCACTTCGTATATGTTTTCGAGTTTCGGTCTTTTCCAGCCCATTATTACTTTTGAGATTTCTTTCTGGAGACTGCCGAACAAGTTTTCAGGGGAAAACACGCTTGTCAACTTGATCTCAAATTGACCAAACAGTGGATAGCTATCCTCAGTTTTTTTAAAAAGAATGTCGTAAAACCATTGATTCAATTTGGCGTCGGTATTCTTGATTTGTGGACCAAAGATCTTTTTGTCTACCCCCTGTTCACGGGCAAGCTGATGAAAATACTCCAATGCTTCAAGAATTTTTGCCATCCTATTCTTCACATCTTCCATTCTTTTGCGGCGTGCTCCGGGTACAGGGCGGATCCCCTCTAGTTTAATCAGCAAAAGGCGCAGGGTTTGATCTTCTGAATGGTGGTGAGCTGTAATGACTGTGATTGGTAGACCATCCAACTCAATTGTCTTATCGACGCTCTCATTTCGTAGCATATACTGCACTAAACCTACTGTTGCGTCGAGTTGTTGGTTGATTTTCTTCATGTCTGGTTGCTTATTTTGATTTGTAATGGATATTTTTGCCATTGCAAGAAGGTGGACCCATTTTTCATCTAGACTTTTTATTTCAAATACTTCTGGCTTCTTGTTGAATGCAGCTCCATTTGATTCCTGCATCTCATTTTGATGGCTATGTGTGTCTTGCGGCTCTCCGCTAGTTATTTGATCAGTGATTTGCTTCTCTTTCATTAGTTGAGGCTTTTCCAAATTGTCTCTTGAACTCTTCTTTGAACCTGAGGTAGGTTCGACGTGCCCGGAATCCAATCCACCAGGAAAATCAAAAACAAATGGCTCCAAACGAGATGAAGGAACAAAGTGTGCTCTGTCTCCTATCCCTTACCCACACAGTCAGTCATGTCAGATCTCTGGACGGGACGTGTTCAAACAACCGCTATGACAAGGACTAACCTTGCGTTCCTGCTATGGCGTGTTTTGACCAATCAATTGCAGAATGGGAAACCGGTGATCCCCTCCACTCACGATGTAAACCTGAGCTACCTGCGTCTGCCGATTTGATCGGAATATCCACGTGAGCCACGTCGTCAGCTTGCGTTCCGGAATCGGAAGACAGTCGATCGCCCAGATCTCCTAAATCACCAAAGAAGTCGATGGTAATTCTTCGCCTTTTTGAATTGGGCTGGAAATCGGAAACCGAAAGATCTTCGAATGGAATGGAGCCCCCCTCTGTTTGACGGTCGACAGCGTTGATGTCAGGCACCTCGGAGTCGGCGCATATTGATATTGGGGGTGAAGTGGTTGATAACCTGAGCAGACATAGCAGAATCAATGTTAAACCGAGTAACCAAGACTGAAGAGTTGAAGCCATCCCAATATTGCAAGATTCAGGTGGACTGAAGAGTTCTAGCGGTTTCCCTATGTAACTTCAATCTCTACATTCCTTTGGACGCTGGATTGGGTGCCTCAAGCAGGAGGCCCGCTGACCAGCAAACCCACGACCTTCTAAAACTTGTGTCCGAGACTTCATGTAACGCTCAAGAAGTTTCCATCAAAGTTTGGTTCAGTTTGGGGGGGGTGTTTGAAGTTAACTTGGGATAAACTTGTAGAAGCCGGGGCGGAAACTGTAGGTCTATCCTGCTAGTTCTTCAGAATCTGATTGAAGCTTTCATTTTTGAATGGTTTGATTTTTGTTATGAATCACTCTGATCATCACTTCAGGCTGCATTCTCACCAGCAATGTGAATAATTATGTATTTTCACTGTTTTTTTCCTTGTTTTGTTTTTGTTTTTTGTTTTTTGTTTTTTGTTGTTGTTGTTGTTGTTGTTGTTGTTGTTGTTTTTTCTTTTTTTTTTTCACAGTAGGACTATACGTCTTGCATCAGGGTTTCCTTCTGTATTGAATGCACATTGTACAGTGGGGGACACCATATTACTGTAACAACCCCCCAGCAAAATGCAAGTTGACCACACGAGCTGAATGTTTGTCCACCATAGGAGTCCAAAAGTTCCAAAAGTATCTTTTGTGGACTCTTTGGAGGTTGTAGATTCTAAATCTTATTCAGTTTTGCAACTGGACCAGCCATTCTTTTTTTCCCTTTTTTTTGAAATCATTATTTGGGACACATGCTACTTATACCTTCCCCTAAGCCCATATGTACACCCTAAGTGCATAGTTATGGGCTTCCAGAAAGGATTTATTGCATATACATGCATGCAAATAGACATACAAACACATAAAATGTGTTGTCTATGATTTCATTGTGCTTCCTCTGGGCTCTTCAAGCCTTACTTTCAACCATCATTTGAACTTTTGGGTTTGATTTATTGAAATTTTGAGTGCAAAAGTTCAGGAGAACAAACTTTGACTAACTTGACCCATCAATTTTCTCAAAAATATCACCCCTCACCCTCCTTTCCCCCTACTCCCAAGGGGATTTTTCCAAATTGTTCCCACCCAACATTTGGGACACTGTAAAATCTGTTACAGTAATATGGTGTCTATCACTTTAGGGTTTAACTCCCAATTTTTAAGGGTTCAAAGGTGTTATGAGTTGGATGCGGTATTTATTCTGATGTTGTTATCTTCATTAAGACATTGCTCCTATAAGTCTAAAGGTAAACTGGTAGATAGTTATTGTAGTTATTGTTATTTAGCTTGTTCTCATTGAGTTGATTTGACTGTCTAGTCTGTCCTGTGGGACAATAAGCTATGTATGCTACAATCTTTAGGGCCTGTACCACAGCACCCAGACACAGCACCCAGACAAATTTTCTACTTACATTTTTATTTTTATTTTTTCAGAAACCAAAATTAAAAACCAAAATTCAGGTTTGGTCTTGCAACAAAAATCTGGAAATCAAGGATAATGCATGGTAATATGGAGGCACTGGCATGCCAAATGAGCTAAAAAATCAAAAAAGGAAACCCATTTTTTGAATGAAACAAAGCACTAATTTTCTAATACAAGGACCAAAACATCCCCTGCAGCCCCATCTTCAAGGGGCATACATATCCAGGATCTTTGTCTTACTCAACTGCAAGTAACAAGTGGATTGGGAGAGATGGATGGCATAGAATCAGCATCTCAATCAATTGAAAAGGCTGACTTATCTTCCTTGGGATGATACTGTGGCAAGCTTGGTGAGTCATGACAAGATTCTGATGACTCCAAAATTGTTAGATCAGCGCACTGGTTGTGCGGACTGCTGTATGTATGTACTTTTATCCCCAAGCTTACAGGAGTAATTCCTGACTTAACACTAGTCCCTTGCTTCAGGGGGTCCTGGTAAAGGGCTGGAACAAGGGAATTGGGGGTTTTGTCTGTTTTTTGCCTGGAGATTTCAGACTTTTAGTGGAAGAAAATTCCCCTCCCATATCCAGTGTCATCTGCCTGCAACTTTGCCACACCTGCAGTATCAAATTAAAGGCTAGAATTTTTCTTTTTTTTTGTGCCAATCACATCTTTTTTGTCCTTCACAAAATCTTCCCTTACCCCTTTGAAATCTTCCATCTTTTGTGTCTAGCCTTAGGTAGAGAGATGTGTGTAAATTCCTCAAAATTGAAATTCCATGTAGACTGAATTGAGTTACAGTAATTTATCCTCTATCCACCTCAGCTGCTCAGCAAGGGCAGTAATCTACTCCAAGTGTAGGTGGCATGGAAGTGAAACCACGTTGAAGCTGAGATGCTCAGCTACCCACTGCTCTTCAGCTCATTCTCATGATGAGTACAGACCTTGTAAACTTAAAGTTACATTGTTTCCAAATATTAGCCAAAAGCCACACATTTTTGGAAGCTCTCAAGCTATCAAGCAGCCATAACTCATAAGCCTCACATTGGGAAGGGAGATGCCTCTCATTGGTGCGCTCTGCACCCCTGGTCCCATTGTGAGGCTCAGTTAAGTCAGAGTCATTGAGGGGGAGAATAGCAGGAAGCACTGATTCTGGCTCCTCCATTGGTTTTGAAAAGCTCTTGATCCCCATTAAATAAGGGGGTCCACTTACTGCTGATGCTGGAATCATCAGTCAAACCTTGTTAAAACCGAACTTTGCTGATGTATTGGGAAGCAATAAAGTTTGGTAGAGATTGTTCGTCCGTACTTTTTGCAGGTACCTGGTACCTCCTGGGGGGTACCCCTTGCACCCGCCCCGCACCCGCCAGGAGGTGCCAGGTGCGGTACTTGGTACCTATTTTTGTGAAAAATTGAACAGGTACCTAGGTACCCCTACAGGTACCCCCTCACTTCCCTACCAAAAATCAAAATGATGGTGGCCTTCTACTCCAAGAACTCCAAGATCCAAGAAGGTAACTTGGCTGCATGGAAACAGGTACTCAAGGATAACAAGAAGTCTAAGAAAAAATCAAAAAGGAAGGTGATGGTTTTGGATTACAATTAAGATTCTTCCAATTAGTTATAAGTTGTAGATAGTTTAAGATTTGCAATAAATTGTTAAATATGAACAAATGAAAAAAAGTGACTTGGGACTGATGTTTTACAATAAATATGAAAAAAATAGAAAAGTAAGGTTCTTCCAATTAGATGTAGATATATTACAACAGATATTAAAAAATGCCAAAAAAGTGACTTGTGAGTAATATTTTACAATAAATATGAAATAATAATAATAATAATAATAAAGTGACTTGGGACCCTGGGAGTGAAACTAGGTGAAAACGAGAGGGGGGGGGGTACCAGAGGTACCTGCAACAGGTACCTTGGGTACTCCCGGGGAGGTGTCTGGTGCGGTACATGGTATCTATTTTCTTGAAAAAATGAACAGGTACCTAGGTATAAACAGGTACCTAGGTCCAAACAAACAATCTCTAAAGTTTGGTGAGAAGCTCCCCTTTAGAAGCAATATCCCACAATACTTCACCAATTTTGTGCATCAGCAAACAAACCTTGTTCCACATCAGCAAAGGTTTTGGTGCAACATGAACCCCCTAAACAAATTTCAAGATGAGCCACTTGTATCTTGGCCTCTCAATTGAAGAATCTACTGTACCCTTGTAGCACCCTGGAGAAAAAATGGGGATTCTTGACCATGTACAATCATGCTGCTTGATTGGGTGTAAGGATCCTGAGTCCCCTGCTTATGTTGTGCCATGTTTGGAAGTCCCACACCATTTAATACATCCTGGCCAGTAGAGGACTTCTAGTTGTCCAAGTCTGTTAATTTAGAAGGAAATTCTAAACATTATTTATTGAACTTACTGTAGTCCATTTATCACTTTCTCTATTTTATGAATATGCTTATTCATTATCTCATTCAGCGCCGCAGTGATTTCTCTGAAACCTAATTGATCATTATAAAGCATCGTCTCTCTCTTTTGTATCGGTTCTCTTTAATCAATCAATTGCTTCATTCAACTCACTCGCCACCTTTTCACTAACCTCAAACATCTTAGGTTCGTTTCTTTTCATACTTTTATGTATAGTATAAGCCTTAACCTTGTCATCTCTTTAGGTTTGTGATCGTTCTAGGTCATATTAGTCGTATCGTGTAGATAGCTAATATCACCTTCACTCTAAAGGTGTGTATCTGAATAAGCAATGAATCAATTGTTTCATTCAACTCACTCGCCACCTTTTCACTAACCTCAAACATCTTAGGTTTGTGATTGTTTTAGGTCATATTAGTCGTATCGTGTAGATAGCTAATATCACCTTCACTCTAAAGCTCGTTGTTCATTAGGTTATGAGCCCAGATAGTGCCTAATCTGCAACCTCCCTGAACTTCAGCTTTCAATACGCAATGGCCGAAAAATCAATTCATCATCTTCCGTTACTTACGAAAGTTAACTTTCAAAACTGGAAGAACATTATGTTTTCTTACTGTCTCGAAAGAAATCTCGACGATCATCTTCTTTCCGACTTGGTCAAAGAAGAAAAAGATGCGGTAGCAAAAATATCTCTTCAAGATAAGAAAGCTGCTGCAGCTGGTATCCTCGGACAAAACTTAGGCGTAGAAAACTATGCTAAGTTTATTACTGAAGATAACCGAAAGCAACCTCATTTAATCTGGACTGCTTTAATCAACCATTTTCAGTCCGACTCCTCTCAAAATCATGCAGTCGTATACCGCGACTTCTTGAACATTGGATTCACTTCTACGCTTGAACAGTTCATTACAGACATTGACGTCGGTATCTCAAATCTTCGTTCTGTCGGTATCACCATCGTCAAGATGGAGAAGACGACTATTGACGAAAGGCTTCTTGCTGAGTATATTGTCAATCTCCTTCCTCCGAAACTTGAGAATTCTAAGGAAATTATCACTACCAAGAGACCTTTGGACATCGATATCGTTCGAACGTATTTGAACTCCAAACAACTCAGTTCAACCGGTACTCCTTCTAACTCAGTT